GTCCCTAACCAAAGCAACTAGGAGCTTCTTTGGTAAACCTCGGAGAGAAACAACCCTCACACACCTGCAGCTTAAGCTCATTCATAAGATTGGAAAACAATCAAGGAAATTACTTTGGTTAGAACATAGTTGGCTATGGTTGTAGTTCAAGTTGGATTTAACCCTTAGGAAGTTGCACAACAAGGTGGTACTAAGTTTGCTAAATGATGTTTTTTTAAGTTAATCTATTTTTTTCTAGTCACTTTTTTGTTGGCATCCGCAACAATTGTAGTTGCACACATAGTAGTTCTCAGTTGGATATGATCATTAAAATGTTGCACAACACGGCGACACTAAGTTTTCTAGATGATGTTTACTCTTAGGTTAATCTATTTTTTAGTCATTTTTTATGTTGGCATTCGTAGTAGTTGTAGTTGCACACATAGTATTTCTCAGTTAGATATGCTCGTTGAAAAGTTGCACAACATGGCGATACTAAGTTTTCTAGATGATGTTTACTCTTACGTTAATCTATTTTTTCTAGTCACTTTTTATGTTGGCATCCGTAGTAGTTGTAGTTGCATACATAGTATTTCTCAGTTAGATATGCTCATTGAAAAGTTACACAACATGGCGATACTAAGTTTGCTAGATGATATTTTTTCTTAACTTCATCTATTTTTTCTAGTCACTTTTTTGTTGGCACCCGTAGTAGTTGTAGTTGCACATATAGTAGTTTTTAGTTGGATATAATAATTGAGAAGTTGCATGACACGATTATTCTAAGTTTGATAGATGATGTTTTTATTAAGTTAATCTATTTTTCCTATTCACTTTTTTATTGGAATCTACAGTAGTTCTAATTGCACACATAGTAATTCTCAGTTAGATATGATACTTTCAGAGTTACAAAACGGAATGTTTTCAGAATAGATACCCAGAATAGACCCTTATAATCATTTGAACCCCACCAATCACCCCCTTTTCCTCTTTTCCTTTTCCTATCGTTTTCCCTGTAGATCCCGTTGCGATGGAACTCGAGGCTACCATGAGCTCGCCCTCCCTCCTCGACCGCGTCCATCAAGAGCATGTCGCTCCGCCTCGGCCACTCCCAAGCGCACCTGCACCTGCGCTCATCCGCCTCGACCGCGGGCATATTGATGGAAGTAGCCGCCACCACGAGCCCGGACGCCTGTCTGCCTCAACCATGGCCATCTCATCGGCAGTGGCGCTAGGAAGGAAGAGTAGGTCGCGTTTCGCTCCCTGCCAGGGCCGTTGTCTGCCTCGACCGCGGCCATCTTGCCTCCACCCCGTATGGCGCCGCCCATCCTCCATTCTCGTCATTCTTGACCACAAATGTCGTAATCTTCGGTTGTTCGAGCTCTGGTCAATGATTGAGACGGGGAATCGAACCTCCCCGTGAAGAATTAGAGATTGAAGCCGGCTCAATTGGATATGATCATTGGAAAGTTTCACACACAGCGATACTAAGTTGGCTAGATGACATGTCATGCTGGCATTGAATGTTTGGTACCTTAAATACTGTTCATGTATCTCTCTTTCGTATTTGAATGATATTAGCTTTTTAGCAACAAATTGATTTAGTTTGCATCGAAGTTGTTCTCTCTAATAGGGGCAAACACATTTCATGATTAAGCAGAAGAAGTTGCACAATCATGCTTTTAAAGTTGGTCATGGACTGTCAGGCAGTTGGCTGGTGTAGCTGCCGAAGTTGCACATCCTACTGGTAGGGATAGTTGGGGCGGGAGTGTCCACAGGTAGGGAAGAAAGCCGAACATCAACTGCGACTGTTGCGCCATGGCAGCAGATGTAGTTGTATATCTCACACGATAAGGTGTAGTTAAAAATGGTCTAATCTACACATCCACGAAATAAGGGAAAGTTGCACATGAACTACTAAACGGTTGGAGAGAAAAGCAGACGAAGTTGCACAACGGCTGGTAGGCAGTTAGCCGGGCAGCAGACGAAGTTGCACACCTTTGGGTAGGCAGTTGGTTGAGGGCAGTAGATGAAGTTGCAAATCTCAATGGCAAGGGTTGTTGAGGTGGTCAAACACTCTCATCAACATAATAGCTCACGCATGATTGTGGGAGTTGCACACGCACATCACCATAGTCACACACACACAGGATCACGGAGCGACACACTCTTGTTGGCGTAGTCGCACACGCGTGACCGCGGAGCTGCACACTCTCGTCAGCATAGTCGCTCACGCATGGCAGCGGAGTAGCACACTCGTCTGCATAGTCGCACACGCATGACCACAAAGTTAGACACTCTCGTCAGCATAGTCGCTCACGCATGGCAGCGGAGTAGCACACTCGTCTGCATAGTCGCACACGCGTGGTCACAAAGTTAGACACTCTTGTCGTCATAGTCGCCCACGCGCGGCCACGGAGTTGAACACTCTCGTTAGCATAGTCGCACACGCACGATACACAGTTTCATCGGCATAGTAGCCCATGCATAACTGTGGGAGTTGCACACGCTCGATCACAGAGCTACACACTCTCGTCGGCATAGTAGCTAACACAAGGTCGTGGAGTTGCACACTCTCGTCGGCATAGTCGCACACGCAAGAGTAGATTTGCACACTATTTTTTGGATAGTCACACACGCACGATCACGGAGTTGTACACTCTCTCCCGCACAATTCTACAAGTACGACCACAGAGTTGTACACCCTCGTCAATATAATCGCACACACGCCGCAGAGTTCCACACCCTGGTCGGCATAGTTTCTTACGCATAGAGCGGGATTGCACACACTCATCGGTTAGTTGTTCACACACCACTGCGGGAGTTGCACATGTGCGGTGGCATAGTCGCATAATCAAATTTGCGGGAGTTGTCACACGCGGTGTCATTGTCACACATGCACAATCAAGGAGTTGCACACTCTCGCTGGCATAGTTGGCCGGGGCAACAGACGGAATTGCACATCCACTACTAGGTAGTTGCCCAAGGCAGCAAACAGTGAAAAATGCACATCTGCGGGCAGAGAGAAAGATTGCACACCGGCTACTAGGCAGTTGGCAAGTGCAGCACACGAAGTTGCACATCTCACTGGTAGTGGATAGTCTGGGGTGAAAACTTCAACAATGAAAACTGCAGTTCCACGTGTATGAGGAAAAGTTGCACACTGACTTTCCGGTAGTTGCACACTGACTGCTAGGCAGTTGCACAAAACGGACAATAAATTGCACAGAAAAAAGGTCGTCGAAACATACCCATGTGAGATCTAGTTTCGATGAGCATGTCATGATGATTCCAACAGTGAAAGAAGATCTTAATTTCGATGTTTGGTTAAAAAGTTAAGACATTTTTTAGGAAAATAGAATCCGAAGTAAATGCGTTCACACCAAAAACTGCATGTCCATGAGTTGGGAAAAGTTGCACGACGACTCTGAGATAGTTGTACATCGACGGCTACGCAGTTGCACAAAACGGGGATTGCACAAGAAAAATTTCATCGAAACATACCCATGCAGGATCTAGTTTCTAAGAGCGCGCCACGAACAAAATAGCTCATTCTAGATAAGGAGATAAATATATTTGGACAATCTGAAGACCTAAAATAGAACAAAATTCTGAAGTGCGATGGAGATTATTGAGTTGTTACTAATAATTGCTACAAGAAAAAGAGGGAACTTAACAAACTGTGGGTGAAATGTAAGAGCCTGAATCATAACCTCTCTATGATCATTCTCATCAAAATATTCATAGCTTCATGCTATCTGAATCATCTAACGACTAGTAAAGGAAGTTGAGCGGATGCTAATCAGGTAAAGATCCACGTCACAGGCTACACTCAATTGAGGTGCATTTTCATAACTAATCATTAACTATATCAAGTCTAGAAGTAGGTTTTGGAGACACACTCCTTTGTGTAGCAACAATCATAGCCATAGGTGGAGCAGAAGCACTGGTCTTGGTAGCCGGTGGAGTTTTGATGTACATGTAGATGAGCTTGTCCGCGTCCTCGTACTGAAGGTAGAGAAACTCCGCAACCGCAAGCATGATCTCCGTGACCGACGGCACAAGGCACATCCCCAGGTACTCCCTCCGTTTCTTTTTACTCCGCATATAAGAATTGGTCAAAGTCAAACTACACAAAATTTGACCAAATTTATATAAAAAATATGAGCATCTATAATATTAAAACTATATAGTATGAAAATACATTTTGTGATGCATCTGATAATATTGATTTCATATTGTCAATGTTTACATTTTTTAATATAAAGTTAGTCAAACTTTGTAAAGCTTGACTTTGACCAAACCTTATATGCAGACTAAAAAGAAACGGAGGGAGTACATGATACTGTTCTTGTAAAGGAACGAGGCCAGATTCGGCGACGGCTGCTCAAACGTTGTTTCCATCAGGAACGGGATAACCTGCCAAGTAAGAAGACACCAATCAATTTACCAAGCTGGATGAGCCAGGGTGCAGATTCGGCCAGGGAGCAGCGATCCAAGTTTAGCTCCTCGTACCATCGTGGCGACATCCCTAGTGCCGCGGCCAACGGCGGGATCCAAGTGGAGGGATCATGAAGCGCTGCTTGGGGATGGCGGCGACAAAAGGTGTGGAAGGCGGCGAGCGTGTGGGCGGTCGGAGAGGCGGAGGCGTGAGGAGTTAGAGGAGGGGAGGGCAGAGGGAGGGGAGAAGAGGGCGTCGGCCGGTAGATGACGGCGACCGCCTCCATGGCATGGCGGTTAGGGAGGAGCAGGCTGAGTTGGGGATGAAGACATGGGTGGATAGCGACAAACCCCAGCGATTAAAATCGCCCGACCAGATATCACCTGCCACCATGCGCGCGACCGTTCAGGGAGATCGTGCGGCCAGCGTGCGGCCGCTCGCGAAAGCTGCGCGTGCACTTTCTAGTATTTAGGTTTTAAGTGGCCCGCCTCAAATCGTGAAATTATAGCCCGCTGGCTCACCTCGCACAGCACGACACACCACACCCCACCCGGCGGCGGCGGTCGATCTGCCGCCCACCATGGCACCGCCGGCGCCGTACATCGTCGACGAGATCCTGGAGGAGATCTTCCTTCGCCTACCCACCCTGGCCGCGCTCGTCCGCGCCTCAACCGCGAGCCCCCGCTTCCGCCGCATCATCAGGGCGCGCTCCTTCCTCCGCCGCTTCCGCGCTCTCCATCCGTCTCCACTCGTGGGATTCGCCCTTGACAAACATGGCTTCCACCAAGCCCAAGAACCCCATCCCTCCGCCCCGCTTGCCCGCGCCCTTGCCGACGGCGCAGATTTCACCTACTCCTTCGTCCCCAAGCCCAATGATGATCCGCTCAGCCCCTGGTGCCACCGTGACGTTCGCGACGGCCGTGTCCTCCTCGAGTGCAGCTACCTGTGGGACAAAAAGCCAGTCTTTACACACCTGGCGGTGTGCGATCCCTGGTCACGGAGAAACACGCTGCTCTTTCCCATACCAGAGGAGATGACCGTCCAGCAAGAGCGCCTTATCGAGTTCGAGCCTATGCTCGCTCCCATTGGCGGGGATGAGGATGAGAATGAGGATGAGACCTCGTTCAAGGTGATCTGCACGGCGCGCTACGAAACCAAGCTGGTCACGTTTGTCTACTCTTCCGTCGCCGTTGAATGGTGTATAGCTGCATCTCCCAGCTGGAACTCTTTGGGCACAGATGAGCCCCCTGGGAAAGGCTTCTCGTATTGCAATTATTTGCGTGGCTGCTTCTACTGGAGCTCTCTTTGGAAAGACAAGCTTCTCGTGCTGGACACACGCACAATGGAGTTCTCCACTGTCAACATTCTCACCGGCTACCATGTGCAGCTTATAAACCAGCCTGGTCAGAGTGTGTGCATGCCTACCATTGTTGATGGTACAGAAGGAGCCCTTGAGATGTTTACTCTTGTTGGTCATTGCAAGCCTACCTCGTTTTATATTTATCATACAAGTCAGCAAAACAATGGCGGACCTTCCAATGAGTGGCAACTGAAAAATGTTATAGCATTGCCTCCCCGATGTCTCTATTATACCATGGGTGCAACTGAGGGATTCTTATTCCTTCGAGGTGTTCGAGAAGCTCGGTGGGATGACAATAGACATGGGGTCTTTCCTGTGTATAATGATATCGATTTTTTCTCTCTGGATGTCAAGACTTCACAACTTAAGAAGGTCTGCAGCCGCAGGCACTACCGGACTCGCGGTCTATGCCTACGGCCACGGGCCGTCGGCATAGGCCCCTAGGCCGTCGGCATAGATCTATGCCGACGGCAGCCGTCGGCATAGAGCCGTCAGTCTAGATTACGTCAGCGTACTCCTGTCAGACCGTCGGCATAATAATGCCGTCGGTATAGGGGGGTATGCCAACGGCCCTGACGCAGCCGTCGGCATAGTTTAGCCGTCGGCGTAGTTTTCCGTCTGACGGCAACGGACGGCGCCGTCAAACTGCTGGCGGGTCAGGAGGCGACACGTGGCAGGGCTGCTGTCGGCGTAGTCTGGAATAAGCCGACGGCCTATATATGCCGACGGCTGCTGTCGGCGTAGACGCGGATAGCCCGACGGCCATTGTACGCCGACGGCCAGGAGTTAGCTGTCGGCATAGCTCGGACTAGGCCGACGGCTGCCGTCGGCATATATTTGGCTGTCGGCGTAGAGCCCTGTTCCGGTAGTGAGGGCAACAATCTTTGATTGTCATCCCAATCGTGCTCACCCATTATTTGGCTTCCCGCCATCATTGTCGAAACCGACCCTATGAACTACAAAGCGGTAAGCCTGTTTTCATAGTATTGCTTATACTTTTGGAGTTTTTCTCTTGTAAAGTTGTAGATTAATGGCAAGCTTATTCTGTTCGTCCTTATGAATTATGGAGCTTTGCTGTCCTAATTTAGAATGTAGAAAGTTAAGGGCTCATGCGATTGTTAGAACTTGTCAAACCTGGAAAGGTTACGGAATATCTGGCTAATCTATGGTAACACTCCTCGAGTGCATAGTTTTAGCTAAGACCTTTGAAGAACAAGAGTAGAAACTAGACAAACATACATCCGCAATGAAATAATATGGTAACACATGCAAGTTTTCAGTCACATCTTTATCCCACAAGCAATACCCATCAGCTTTGTAAATTTACTCAGGTTGAGTTAAAACCCACTCAGGTTGGCTGGATTTTCCCGTCCCAGCCCCCTGAAGTAAATCAGGCCATTTTGGTCCTTTGCATTTGAGTTTCTCTGGTGCAACTGTTTGACCAAGCTGGATGTGATGACGCTGCTCTCAGTGCCACAATTGATCCTATTCAAGCTAATCTCATGCTTGATTACAACCTCTAGGAATTTGTCAAATTACAACAGGTGAAAAACTAGTTTGTTGGAGCCAATCTCAATCTTGTTGGGTATATGAGTCTTGCTCAATATCATGCTGTTCAGATTGTTGATAGCCCTCAGCCCCTGGAGATTTTGTAGTGGGAACTGAAAACTTCATAATTCTGGCCTTAGGAGTTAATACTCTCATGGTGTGTCTTGTAGAAAGTTAGCTACATATGGTTTAATTTATGGAAAGAACACAATAGGCGTCTTTTCATAGATGGATTCCTTGAAGTGGATCAGGTGGTTTTCCTCTCTGATATGCGATTGCACTGGACAGCGCCAAGCAACAATCAATGGTCCTACCTAGTTGTGTCACCGGTAGCAAGTGATCTATCTTATGCACTTTGTGAGGGAGTGGTACCCCCACTGTCCTAATTAAAGGGTTCATCTGTACATTAAAACTCTTCTCCTCAGAATATATTATCCACTATATATCTAATACTCTACTATCTATGGACGAGGATTTGCGGCACACAAGTGCGGGGGCACTCAGGGCCTGGTATTAGCTTTTTATTTTGGCTTCCGATTTTCAAAGTTCTATATCTTTTAAACAAAAAATCTAAATTAACTTATGTTTTCATATTCATGTTTCTCGTGACCAGCGCTTTGAATGAATATATTTTGATGACTTATAAAAATGTTAAGTTTTGAATGTTGAAACTTAGTACGAACGACCGATAAAAATCAATTATTTTGTGTCTACGACCGACAGAAAAATTTGCTTAAAATTATATCTCTGAAACTTGTTGAAACTTTGCATTTTTAGATGCAAAAACCGTAAGTTTCATCGTTGAAACTTAAATTTTTTCAAGGGATTTTCTTTTTTAGTGTGCACTTGTGCGGGATTCAACTACTTTGCGAATCGCGGGGCAAATCGAGCGGGCGACAGCGATTGGCAGGTGAGTGCCCCCGCACTTACATGCCCCTACGAATTTCCGTACCATCTACTATCTATCTATCCACTACTTATAAAAGCATGAGTTTGGTGAATCGAAATGATGTCAGCCATTCAACCACCTTTCCAACGTCTCATGCAGCTGGTCGGATGATGTATCCATCACATCATCCATAATATGGGAACATTAATTGCATTAATCATAATTTCAAAATGACATTAATTGTAATCAATCTTGGAGTAAATGTAGCTAATCTTCAAAATAATATTACTATCGAATTGGATGTGTGTTGCACATGGACGGTTACTAGTGAATCGATGTTGTCCTGTTGGTTCTTGGTTTTTATTGTGCTATGCATAATACAGATCTTTTGAAATTTATAATACTTAGTTTCTGGATGTTTTACTCCAAAACTGTTATAAGATGGCTGTGAGACTTCTCCAATCATGAATTAGTTTGCTTGTCATTTTTTGCCATCTGTACTGATCAATTACGGTTAGCGGGTCTTATTCTGAAACCGCAGAAGCAAAGATTTTTACATCCACATCGGCTTTCTAACTAAATATATCTGCAGGGGTGAATCTCACTTGCTTTTGGGATCTCTTATCTGGGCCACGCATCTGGCGATATTGAGTAGAGACGGAGGATGCTTAAGATGATGCGGTGCAACCAATATGCTGGCTGGATTTAGTACTGGGGTGTTGGCAATGTTACTTTGTCTAGCACTATAATATGTAAGGGACGTACTGTTTTCCTGTGACCTAGTATTACGGTGGTGTGCATTGTCACTCTCTGCTTGTTATTGTCTGGATCTCATTGTCACTCTCTGCAGTGTTCAGCTTGTTTACGATCTACTAGCTTTTGTGACTTGAGCCCCTTTGGAAGGTAGGATTTAAGGAATTTTGCAGTGTTTCTATCCATACGAATTACTTTCTCTATGAAGATGTAGTCGTGTGAATTCTGGAGCGGCTCAATCCATATAAATTTGGAGGAATTTAATTTAACACAATAATATGGAGGAATTCTCACAAAAAGTTTGAACTCACAGACTAAGTTTTTCTTTATTTTGTATCTAGCTCTCCCAACCTTTTCCTTTTGAAATTGTTAAGCTGTCATTTGTTTTGTCTGATCAAGTAGACGCATACAAAATCTAACAGACTCCTATGGTCGCACCCATAGTGTCGTAATGTGAAGACTCTGTGGATTGTCTTATGGAACTTTTGGAACACATAAATGCATTTAGTAAAAGCAAGACTTACATGGCAATATTTTGGGCACCCATTAATATAAAATGAATGAGCAAATATGATTAGGTAGCATATCAACCACTGTCATGATTGCTTTTTTATTTCCCTATATATTGTTGGAATTTCCATTTCCGATCTCTTATGTTTTAGATGTTGGATCGTGTTCTTAATGACATTGAATTGGGAATAAAAGTGTGCTCTCTTGTAGAGTAAAGGTGTGCTCCATGTGATGGATCACAACCAACCCGAAGAGGAAAAGGGTAGGTGTGCTCATGTGAGAATCAGTCCTATGCTTACATAGACACAACACATATGTGCTCCATGGGTGTTCAGCACATCAAACTCACATAGACACAACACATGTGTGCTCCATGGGTGTTTAGCACATCAAAACCAAAAAATAAGAAAAAGAAGGTGTGCTTCGGCACGAAGCACATGTCCCATGGTTTGAGCACATCGAAACCACAAAGGAAAAAAAAAAGGTGGTGTGCTTCTACACGAAGCGCACATGTGTTCTCTCTGAAAGCACAGGCGTGCTCCCCCACGGTGGAGCACAATCAACCTAGAAAAGGGGAAAGGAAAAAAATTATGCTACAATCTATCCTTTTGTCACGTGTCAAACGCGAAGTGCACCCTGATCGTCTTTCGTCGCACCAATTGTCATGTTGGGCAGTGATGTACGGCGACCTTCGCGAAGGGTGTCCGTTAACTAATAACTTTGAAGAAAGAATTGTTCCATGCTAGCATCTTGCTTTCCTAGGAGAGAATGCGGGATCCTGCTAAAAACCCTGTAGAATTGCATCGATCAAGAAACCTTGTAGAATTGCAATGTACGGTATGAAATTAACCCATATATAAAATAAGTAGTGGCATCGTTTCTTTGGCCCCAAAAGAATTTTGCGTGTCAAAAACTGAAAACACCCGCTCATTCCCTCGCCCGCCGGTAACCCCGACCAAAACCTAACCCCGACGATCCCCTTCCTCCCCCGCCCCGGCGGCAGCCGGCGGCGGCCCAGCTAGCGCCGCACCTCGTCGACGAGATCCTGGAGGAGATCTTCCTCCGCCTTCCCACACCGACCGCGCCTCCACCGCCTGCGCGTCCTTCCGCCGCATCATCGCCGCGTGCTCGTTCCTCCGCGGTTACCGCGCCCTCCACCCGCCGCCACTCCTCGGGTTCGCCACCGAAGAAGGCGGCTTCCGCCCGGCCCAGGATCCCCACCCCTCCGCCCCACTCGCCCGCGCCCTCGTCGACGGCGCTGGTTTCAGCTACTCCTATGTCCCAAAGCCCGGCGATGGCGGTGTGTTCACCCCTTGGTGCCCCCGCAACGTGCGTGATGGCCGCGTCCTCCTCTTGTGCAACCACTGGCTTCGCCGGTGGGCCATGACCATCAGCAGGTCAGTCCTCGCGGTGTGCGTGGGATCCCCTGTCACGGAGATACTTGCTGCTCCCACCCATACCTGTGGACACGACTCCTCAGTCCTCACCCACACCAAGAGCATCTTCATCGATTCGAGCCTGTCCTCGCTCCCACCGGCGACAGCGATCGAGGATGAGACGTCGTTCAAGGTGATCTGCTGGGCGGACTATAAAAGCAAGTTCGTCATGTTTGTCTTCTCGTCTGCCACCGGAAAACGGTGTATAGCTGCTTCTTCCAGTTGGAGTTCATTTGGTACGGTTAAGACATTTCGGGAATCATTGTCCTATTTTAACTACTTCTGCGGCCGATTGTACTGGACGGCACCTTGGGGCCGGGAAGAAGCTGCTTTTTCTTGACACGTGCAGGATGGAGTTTTCCACTGTCGACATCCTCAACACCTCCCATATGCAGCTTATAGATCAGCCGGAGCAGAGCGGATGCATGTCTTCCATTGTTGTGGCTACAGAAGGAGCCATTGAGATGTTTACTCTAGTTGTGGATCGCAGTCCAAACGGCTCATTTTATCTCCATCATACAACTCAGCAAAATGATGGCCACTCTTCCAACAATTGTCAGCTAAAAATTGGCATAGCATTGCCTCATGGATTGCATTATTATATTTTGGGTGCAACTGAGAAATTCTTATTCCTTCGAGGTGTTTAACAAGCTCGGTGCGATGATGATTTACGAAGGTATGAAGATTTATTTTCGCTGGATGTCGAGACTTCTGAACGTAAGAAGGTTCATGGAGGAGCACCATGCACTATCAATGCTACCATGCCTGTTTACCCATACTTTGGCTTCCCGCCATCATTGTCAAAACCAACTTCATGAA